GAGATAATGACAAGAACAATCTGTGACCTGGCTATCACGTTGACCTAGGGACGGCCTGGCTGCCCTGGGGTGGAGCTCCACTTGCCTTTTACACCGAATGGCTGCAGACAGGAGGGAGGCCCACATGTCCTTCACAGCCTGCAGCTGCTGCTGAATCGCAGGGACGCCTTCTGGAGAGGTGTTCTGCAGGATGTACTCCTCCCTGGTCACTAGCATTTTCATCTGAATCTCTTTTTCCTGTTTCACTGATAACAGAGTCTAAAGAAGCAAACACAGAGGCTCTTGTTATAGAATGGTACGCATGTGTGCTGCGGAGCTCCCCTGGGAAGACTCTCGCTGGTGTGGGCCAGTCCCCAGGACCCAGCTGGTTTCTACAGGAATTTCATATCACAGTTTTAAGTCATCTCTGAATAATCCTTTCCATCCACTGTTGCTTTATTTTACTAGTTTTAACAAGGGAAGAATTTAGTAGGGAATTCTTTAAGTCTCAAAGGTCACAGGATGAAGGGCTTCTAAATATCTAGCAAAACAAATCTATGGAAGTAGATTATATGAGCTACTTAAAATATGGCTTAAATTTAAAAATTTAAAAGACACATTGCCATTAAAACCCTTCAAAATACTCCCTGTTATTCTTGCCACTTCTGATAGAGTTCTGGAAGTTCTCTTTTTGTGAGTATCCCTTAGAACATACAGGTTTTTTTTTTTTTTTTTTTTTTTTTTTTTTCCAGAACTGGCGATTGAACTCAGGCCCTTGCACTTGTCAGGGAAGCTCTTATTCCACTGAGCCATCTCCCTGGCCCTTAAAAGACCCTAAGAATTTCCATTTGAATCTTCCTCTTCTTCCTCCTTTTCCTCTTCCTGTTCTTCCAGTACCGGGGATTGAACTCAGGACCCTGCGCTTGCCAGGCAAGTGCTTATTCTCCTGAGCTATCTCCTCGGCTGTAGAACATAAAGTTCTAAGTGTTAGCTCTCTTCCTAATTGGATCTTGGTCCTTGCCACAGTCTCCATCCTCAGCTCTGCCCTTCGTGGGGGCACGTCCGTGAGGAGGAAAGGTGATACATTTATCACCTACGATGCTGCTCCTGTTCCCTAGGTTTTCCTACATGTTCCCTCTCCCTGGTACCATCCTTAAATCTGCACCCCGTTGTCTTTGCCAGACCAGCTCTCTCCACCATCATTAGGCGACAGACTTCTTACAAAACCAGAGCCATTCTGCAGTCCCCCTCCTGTGTTTTTATGCCACCTGTTTGCATGTCCTCATCTGTCACCATTGTCCCTCACATTTCACAGTGAGCCTCAGTAAACGAAATTCCTGAGGACAAAAGCCACCTCTTATTCTCCTTTGATTCCTTTGCTGTTGAGACAGAATGCTACCTTCCTGGAAGGTACCCAGGAAGTGAAGGAAAAACAATGAATGTGAATTAATTATTTTCCTTGCAAATGCAGAACAGAGCTGACATGCTAAGGTGAGAGAAGGACTGAGTGAGCTTTATGGGCAGGTAAGTGAGTTGACAAGATACACAGTTGGGCAGTGTTTTGCCTTATAAAACGCTGCATCAATATGTCTGTGATATAATTTAAAACTAGTCTCTCCACCAACTCTTAGGCAAGTAACCACAGCTAGGTATTACAGCAACTTTTGTAAAGCATTTGTGGAGGACCATCTCCAGGATCAGGTAACACAGGAATGCATAGATGTGCCCACACTGTGCAACCTCAATCTCAATCCCAGAGCATCCTGGGATTTCTAGTAGATAGAGTGTGATACATTCACCAGGTGGATGGAGACGTGAGGGGGAAAACATTCTGTAAACTAAAGATCCCTAAAAAGTGCTCACCTCCAGCTTGAGCATCCTGCTGTCTAGCACACTTTTGTCCGATGTTGGGTGGCAGTAAGAATCCAGTGTGTGAACTGCGTCTGTCATCCAGTCCTGTAATTCTTTAATCCCGAGGGAGAACTGATTATGCTCTGCAACGATTCTATCCAGTCTGGACACTTTCTCCTGGAAATGACAGAAAGGGGTTTCTAGCTGTCCACTTCAGAGACTCCCCAGCCTCCATATGAGTTGGGGTTTATTTACTTATTAATTAATATATATATTTATGTGCTGGGGATCAAACTCAGGACTTTGCCCTTGCCAGGCAGGTGCTTATGCTGTTGAGCTATCTCCCCAGCCCCACCCCAGCCTCCAGCTACTCAAGTTATAAAGTTCCCAACTGGTTTCAAATCCCAGTAAGTCATACTTTCATAAGCTGTGCCAATAAGATGCAGGTGGATTCATCTACAGAGATTCTCTAAGTAGGAACAATACTGGAATCATAGGATCAAAAAGCAAAAGTTACAACTTATTGCTCCCTAGCTTCTTTATGACTGTCTTATTTTTTTAAATCAGTAAAACGTCTTCCTAATGCTTTGTCTTGTCCAAATATAATAGTTTTAGCATTCACATCTCACTCTTACCTTGAATATCATCACATACTACCACTGACCTACACTCTATTCAGTTTAAAAAATTGATTACCTGATCTTTCATTTTATCCCTAAATTATATATAAGTTATACGCAAGAAAATTATGTATTTAATTGGCATAACAATTGTATGTATTTATATGGTGTGATATTTCTGTACATGTGTACAAAGTGTAAAGAATATCTCTCAATTTTAAAATTTGAGCCCAAGCATGTGGTTTTACTGATTAATTATGAGGCATAGCCACTGTGGTGAAGATTTTATAAGAAGAGTCCATGCCTCTTAAAGCATTCAAATATATAATACTTTTCATATCTAAGTACACATAAATGAACAGAAAGTTGTTCTTTATTCATTCCTTATAACTCTGAGGCAGAGTCTGAGCAACTCCTAGGTGCTCTCAAACCTAAGGACCCTTCAGCCTTAGCCTTCCCAGTTCTGGGACTGTGGGCCTATGCTACCACCCCCAACCAGAGCTGGAGTCTCTAAGTAACTTATTCATCAAATAAACATGGGGACAAACATGAACTTGTTGTGCAAAGACTGTACTAGTGTGAGTATTTCAACAATGTTGGGTTGAAGACCCAAATTAGCAGGGCAGAAGTGAGTTCACAGTGTAGGCCAAATTATGGTACATTTCCTAGGTGCTAACATCTGAAATTTGAAAACATAAGAAATGAGTATTTTAAGCATCATAAGTGCCACGCAGGTCTGCACCACACAGCTGAAAGCATTCACTAAGGTTACAGTGAGTCCTGATTGCTTTACCTAAAATATTTCAAGAGATTTAATTGGCTATATGAATCATTGCTGATTCTGAGTTCTACTTTAGAATCTGAATTGGGACTCTTAACTGATATATGCTGAGTACCATACAATAAATATATGGAATGTAGAGAAATGTTTGATAATCACTCCAAATTCATTGTGAGCCCAATAAAATTTAAACTATTTGACTTCGTGTTTTCCTAACATCACTTAATCCAAGGTCCTCATAATAAAAAGTTGAATTTTTCTCATGTTTATGCTTTGAGTCTTCACTCTCAGAGCCCAGGGAGCAGGTCATTTCTGTGTTACAAGGAATACTGGGGGCAATAGCAAGGTCAGAAGTTTCTTCCATTATTGGAACTTCTGCTGGTTTTGGAAGTTCTTTACTTCTAGCTACAACATAATGACAGCCCTGAAGTTCAAGGCTGGGCAGCTGATGCTGCAGATTTCGTTGCCAAGCTAGGAATGCCTCTCCACGGGTGCTTGGGGACAGGCCCGGTGCCACCTACTGCAACTCCAGGTTGGCGAGATCAGTATCACACCCACACACAGCACACGCCACACCGCGTGTTACCTTGGTTAGATTGCTTAGCGCTAGATACTGAGCAGACAGCTGGGACACTCTGTGCAGAAAGCTCTTGCTGGCAGCTTGTCCTTCCCTCAGCTGCTGAGCTTTCTCTTTCAGCCTGTTGAGCTGATGCTCGTAGCAGTGAATTTCCTCAAGGACAGACTGAAAAGCACAAGCAAGTTACCATTGAGAGACAGGAGAAAGCACATGGCAGGCAGGGCTCTAGCCCAACGAACGCGGAAATAAACATCGGCGAGCCATCTGTGTCCCTTGGAGGCATCGGAGCTACACACAGTGGCACACTACAGCAAGGAGACAAGTCACACTCCAGGGAAGGCAGGAAACACAAAATCCATCAGAAAGAGGAAAAGGAAACACTGCAGGCATCTCCAGGCAGCGTGGTCTGACCGCAGGGTACCAGTATGCATCCTAACACAGGTAGGTGCCCAGAGGAGAGGAGAGGAGAGGAGAGGCGCGCGGGGCGGCTGCGCCCCCTCACCTGGAGCTTCTGTTGTTCCCTCCGCTTCGCCGGCAGGTCGTAGAGGCGGTGGCTGCTCTCATGGACCAGCTTCTCGGTTTTGCTCAGCCAGCTCTGCACAGGCGCAGCACTTACTTCGAAGTCTTTCATCTGGATCTTCAGATTCTGTGAGGTTTTAGGTGGCATCAGAGACAAGAGACCAGGAGCCAGATCCGAAGTCTTTTACTTCGCACACAACACTGCTCAGTCTTGGCCCACAACCGCTCTCTCCCTGTCCCCCTCTTCCCAATGTCTGGAACACTCCACCCTGCACCTAGACACTATAATTTTGAACACCCTTTAAGAACAGTTCACTTTGTCCTTTACTCTCCAGCCCATGCAAGAGATCCTATCATTTTTCTGCTTCGGCACTTCCGCTGTTTCTATCCATGGCTGCAAACTTTAACATAGACTGGGCTGGACTAGGCATTTCTAGCTGAGGCAGACAAAAGTGGTGTCTGCTAGTTGGGGCGGCAAGCCCCCAAAGGGAAGGGCCTGTGCCTCACACTTCCTGGGCCTCACTTCGGTGCCTTGTATGAAGATAAATCAGTATTGGTAAATATTCTATTGATCTTGCTTTACAACGGAGCAAGAAGTAACATATATACATGTACATATGTTATATATGTATATGTGCATCTATGTGTTTATTATGTATATATGTGTTTCAGTATGTTCATATATCAAGTAGTGGCATGTGTTTATTATATGAGAATATTGTAAATACTTTCATTACTACTTTGTAGACATAAGCAGCCTGAAAGTGTAGGGAGTGTGTGATATGGTACTGTTTTACTTTAGCACAGGGGTCTTTATTCACTGTCTACAAGGTATAAATGTTAGGTTGATGTGGACTGGAATTTGTTATTTATGTTAAATTGGGATCCAATTGAAGGCTGTCCCACCAATCAGCACTGTTGTCAAAGAGCACATCCACGAAGGTTAACTGAGCCATCTAAGTGTGAGGAAATGAAGCCTGTGGAAATAAGAGTCTAAGGCTTCCTCTTTGCTTTCTGACTCCAGGAATCCCAGGGAATGTTTCTTCTGCGTGTTATTTCCCCAGAGGCTCCAGTTCTTGGTGACACCTGGGAACTCTCAAGGTCCCAAATTTAGAAAACAGTAATTTATACCACACTGAGGTGCAGTGCCTTGGTTTCAGCTTATCTTTATCTCTTCCTAGATACAGACTTTGATAAATTATGTAGTCACCTCATTCCTTGCTTCATTCATCCAAAATATAGAAATAAGGAAGCTTGTGTCTTATGGAATGCTTTTGAAGACTACACTGCTGGCATACCTGCAACAGCGCCCGGCACTGATAGGGACTTACTGAAACTGTTGTGCAGCTTGTGTCTTGTGCTTTATAATCACACTCACTGCTACTTCCATAGTCATTAGCCACTGGACGTCTTACGGGAACCCCAAGTTCAGCGTGTCTACATTGAATGAATTATTTTTACTCCCCCCAATGCACTGCTCTTACTGTGTGTCTGTGTCAGTTAGTGACGTCATTAACTGTGCCATCTTCCAAACTACAAACTAAGGACTCAAGCTCCACTTCTGCTTTTCCCACACACTTCATCTAATTAATAATCAAATCCTCTCGTGTTTCTCTATAGAGACGGGTTTTCCATTCTATCATCACTTCCTTAATTCCAGCCCTCGTCTCTGTCATCTGGGCCATCCTGAAAAGCTTTCTCTCGTTTTCCATCCACTCACTCCAGCCTGTTCTCCTTTATCTTGTGGTCAGAAAATTCACATTCATCTCTAGCTCAAGATGCTATGGATTCCTCCCTCAGTCTTTGGCAACCAAATTCCAAGAAAGATTAAGTCTTAGTTCCCAAAGTATGCAAGGAGTTGGTTTCTTGCTACATATAGAGCAGCACATTCTAGGATCCATCCTTGGCAAAACTATGTCCCGGGTTCGGATAAGGCGCCTTGACTAAGAGTGAAACTCAACTTTCTCGGTACACAAGACATTTCACTATCTGACTCTGATCCTCACATCCAGTTCTATCTCTGTTACTCTTGCTGAGCTTCACTTCAGTATCAAACATCCGAACAAACCCTATTCACAACTGGCACGTGGGACTCTCTGGTGCTGTGTATACAGTTGCCTGTATGTGAAATGCACAGCAGTCTTGGCAAATTCAGAGTATTTGTGGCCTTTGAGATTGAGTTTAGGTGTCAACTTTCTGGACACCTTCCTTGAATTCCCCAAATACAGTCAGTGACTGCCACCTATGAGCACTTATTTTGTGTCACAGTCCTTTATTTAGAGGTTGTTTCCCCTCCTGAAAGAGAACTCTCTGAGCAAAGACAATAAGCTAGCCCTTCTGTATTCCTGCCAGAGTTCTGGGTACATTATAGGTTCTATTATGAATCTATCTATCCAGTACAAAAGGCCTGGGACAAATAAAAGAGGCAAAGGAGAGAGAAGATTAAGGACACAGGTAATTCTTGACCTCTTCACCTACATTTGGGTATCTCTGGAACAAGACAGTCTTGCAATCACTGCCAAATAAAAGCAATGCATAGTAATTCAGTGGGTGCCTCAGAGCTCAGACTCTGAATAATTCCTAAATTCTCTGGCACTGCACCGTGGTTATCACTCTACCTGTTGGAGGACACCTGCCATGAAAACTAACTCTTAGCACCAAGTTCCTGGGTTACAGGAGAACTGAAAAAAATACAATTTCTCTCCCAGAACAGTAGTTCTCTATTATTATCTTTTCTATCTTACATTAATTATGGTTATAATCAAATTAAGGATGTATTCTGATGGGAAGTACTATTTGAAAAGGAAAAGAAACACTACATTTGCCTCTAAAGGAAGAGCTGGTATACAAGATAGATGGTCTTAGAAGAAAAAGATGTGTTGTGGCAATAATTATGTCATAATTATAATAAATTACCTTGAGAAAAAAAAAGAAATTGCATGAAATTGTCTCTTTGTGTATTTAACTCCCTAAGCCCTACTACCTGACACTTGTACAAGGGATAATACGCTGTCAGCTGTTGCATTAGGGAGCCTTGTGGAAACATTCTGGTTTATCCTCCTAGACCAGTTTCCAAAATCAAGGCTACAAATGAGACAGCAAGTGCTATGTTTGAATGCAAAGCTGCCTGTTCCTGTTGAAAAAGTGCAGAAAGGAGGTCTGTGATAGCACCTGGCCACGCAAGACAGGATCAAGATTCTCAGGGCAGCTCACACTTCTGGCATTTAAAAAAAATTTAAATTTGTATTAGTATATGTCAGAAGGATATAATGGTCACACTGATCATGGGGATTTGGGGCACGGATACAATACATCCTGATCCTTTTTGGACCTCTTCTCCTCACCTCTCTCCTCTTGCCCTCGAATCTTAAGAGTTACCCAGTTGTCTGTCAGTAGAGCCATGGACACAGTCCTGGTCAAGGTCCTGCCTGCTTCAAACCCTGGGTTAGCAGACAGCAGCAATGGACAGGAGCACCATGATCTCTGCAGGGGGTGACATCTTACCTCGAGGGCAGATTCTTTCTGGTGGAGATTTGAATGAAAATTTTTCCAGTCGTCTTTTGCAGCTTCGACTTTGGCCTGGATATTTTTTGCTTTCTCTGTGGTCAACAGGGATGTCAGGAGTTCTCCTTTTGACAGCATCATGTTGAGTTTATGTTGCCCATTTTCACTTTCAGACAAAAACTCCTATGAATGAAAATGTAAAATTAGCACAATAAAATGCTCTATGCTTTAAAATTCTTTGACTTTCCTAAGCATTTCTCAATGAAATCAAAGAGGAGAAATGAGATATTTTTATGGCTGCAATGAAAGGACCAAAGTCTTTCCTTTAATCATCAAGTTGTATTTTATTTCCCACTCTGGCTTGCTGTATGAAAGTTGTGAGCTATCTTATGAACCATTATTAATTAGATAAAAAATAAACAAGGGAAAACCAATGGAATGAAAAGAATTAGGAAATAATTTCATTATTTAATTTACAAAATAAATTCCATATGCTTCTGTATAAATGATGCAGTTGGATATAACTTTTCTCTGAGCATCCTAGCTGGCCAAGCAAGAGCAAACACAACCAGGTACAGGACTCAGTGGGCTCAGGTGACAAAATCAAGCTGTTGGCTCAGCACCAGCACTATTCCTAGAAGAGACAACAGGAGAATCCCTGAAAAGTCTTAATACAATAAATTTGGTTAAATGAAGTCACTATTATTAGAAGCATATCAAAAGACAGTAATAGTGTTTTAGGTGACTGCCCCCATGAAGTGAAAGTAAGTGGCGTACTTCTGAAGTATGAATCAGAAATACGGCCACAGTACATACTTTTCCCTTTATTTGGTAATATGCAAGGATAAAATCTTGCTCTAGATACGTAGGTAGATTCTACATTATATAGCCAATGCCCATTAATATTTTCACATATGAAGAAGACAACATGCAAAGTATAAGCTCACAATCATTGATTTACTATCCTCCCTTTCTTGTTCAGGGGACTGAATTTAGGGCTTTCACACTAACGTGCATCCCTAGTCCTTTCTAGCTTTGAGGCAAGATCTTGGTAAATTGTTTTAGTGCCTAGGCTATGCTCAGACTATCAACCTCTTGCTCCAGGCTCCCAGAGAGCTGGGATTGTGTGTCCTGAGGCCCAGCCACACAAGGCTATTGATTCTGTGAGAAACAGAGGCACAGAGACTCTAGCTGGTGAAGCTCAATAAAGAAATGTGAGATGGCTTGGATGTGGTTTGTCCCACAAGGAGTCATGTGTTGGAAGCTTGGCTCTCAGCATGGCAATGTTAAAAGGGGAGGTTTAGGGGATGTCCTGGGCCACTGGGGATAGGACCTTGAGGAACTGTTTGTTTCCACAAGAGGTTTTTCTGGAAGAGAAACCTGTGCACTTCTCAACCTGTGTGGCTTTCTGTCTGGTGACTCATCTTGTCCTTCTCACAAGTGCTCCTGCCATTTCGGTGCCATCCACCAGGAGGGCTTCACCACAGTGGAGCTCATGCCAGTACCATGTCCTTGAAACTTCAAAACTGTGACCTCTTTTCTTTATAAAGTAGCCTAGCTTGGATATTTTGTTATAGTCATGAAAATGTACTGATACAGAACCTCTGCAGGACATCTGTTTAATAGATGACCATCTTGTACCTGAAACTTGGCTGAGGCTCAGAGAAAAGACTGTCCTCAAAAATAGCACTGAGGGTTGGAAAGATAGCTTGGCTGTCTAAGCACCTGCCTGGCAAGGACCAGGGTTCAATCCCCAGTACTGTATGTCATGCCAGCCCTGTACCAAGCCGGCCACTGAAACCAGGTATGGTGGTACGCACCTGTAATCCCAGCACTGGGGAAGCTGAGACAGGAGGATCACTATGAGTCTGAGCTACACAGTGAGACCCTATACCAAATAAATAAAGGTTAAAAAAAATAGTACTGAGTTCCTACAATGCAAACAAATTGGTAGTGAAATTCCAACATTCTACTTCATGGCCTGGAGCAAAACTGGAAGATTCTTCAGTGGAGCAAATTCTCAAAGCAGAATTTTTCCATTATACTACTAACCAGTAATTCAAACAAATGAAATGGATACAGACGGTACTACTTTGGAGGCTGATTCTGTCTGAGAAACTTCAAGCAGAAGCATTTGCACATAGTTCTCCTAAGCGGTCACTCTGGAGTGCTAGCCTGTGAAATAGCAGGCATACATGCAAAGACAGCAATGCCACTGAACCCAAGACATTGGTGTCGAAGCTGTTGCAGTGGCGTTTGCAGAGCGCAGGACTATGAAAAAACCCCAAGGCAATTAATAAGCATACAATCTGGCTGAAGCTCTGGCTACGCTAAACATCCACTCTGTGGCCTCATTACAATTCTTCTACCTCTGTGTATCTGGGAATAATAATGTTAAATACTTAATATGGCTAAGGTGAAAATTAAATGAGAACACCCACTTTGGAGCACTCTGGCACAGTGCTTGTTATGTAAAATAGATTTAATTATTGCCAAAACCTTTATTAATACCTAAAATAGCATGTTTTTATGCATATGAATGGGTGAGTTTCTTTCCCATTGTTTCAATGGGGGATTTATTTGAAGTTTGATTTTTTTAAAAAAATTTTTATTTTGACATCAGTTATTTTTATTTTAAAGAAAGAAAAAAAATAAAAACAGTGGTACAAAATCTCAAAACAAGATTTTAAGAGAGTAACAATGGTTAGTACATTGTGTATTGTTATTGCCAAAGTAGTTTCTCATATT